AGGTTCCTTTCGCGTCTGCGGCTGTGAAGCCATACGAAAGCGGTGCCAACTAATAAGAGAAGTTATAATTGAACGGACAAACCTGCTCGTGTCGTCTCCTCGTTAATATTCGTTCCTTGATCCAGCTTAAAGCTCTGACTACTTAAATAAATGTATATACATGTATATACTATTGGTACTGCTACTTAGATCAAACTTAATGCTTCTGTTTTCTCAGTCCCGAATAACGTACCGAGAGCAGGCACCTTGCCTACTATGGTATGTATCTGGTTCATCGGGTACCCAGACTAAGTAGGATCAAGTCCAGGAAGAAATCCTGTCAAGGATCTTGTCGACACAAAACAGTTTTCCAAAGATTAATTTCGCCATACTCAGTATGGGTCCCTTTTACTTGTCGGCTAAGAGCCAATCGATGCGGCCCAAGAAGTTACCAGCCGGAGAAGGGAGAGATCGAAGTGTCGGTGGGCCGGAAGTTTCAAGGGACCAGGAAGTTCGGTCGTTTCTCACGATGAAATTCGTCGAATGTTCAGTAAGGGGCTTTCTCGGCTTTTCGTTTCGAGGTAAATTTGAGAAATTTTTTTTGGTCACTCTATATAACCTGATATATATATATATATATATATATATATATATATATATATACATTTGTGAATTGGGAAAGTGGAGGGGGGGTTTACCTAAACCTTCCCGAAAACCTTGTTATCGGTCATTTTAGATCGACGTTTTTTTTTTCTTTCCTGTTATGACATTTGAAATTGCAATTTTTGACGGGAAAATTTAATTTTGAACTTTCAAGTAATTACAGGGTCTTCCCCTTTCAACGAGAGTAATCCGTATTTGCATCAAAAGACTTTTCATCGTTCTGCATATGTTGGGCATGTTAAGAGTCTTCCTTGAGAGACTTCGGAATATTCATTTAAACAGCAAGCTTTGTTCTTTCATCCCGATAATTAACATACAGACGAGCGTTCCACTTTCGTTCTATTAATATAAGAGAAAATTTATCGGTCCGGGCGCGGCCCTTACGAGATAAAGTCCATGGAAGCACGTGAGCATTAATTAATTAAGTTATATTGCGCGCTTAACCGATAGGAACCACAAATCTTGTTAATACCTACATTCTCCAGATTTTGGTTTGTTAATCGACCGGTTAACAATGCGGACGAACCATATGGATAAATTTACCGTACGAAATACGAAACACGGAACACACTAGGGGTATGACAATGGACCTTGTGAACGTCAGTATGAAATTACAATTTTTCATTGTCCTTTATCGCAATGGTACTTCAACGTTTAAATGTAACTTATATACCTGAATTTTGAAATCACGTTATTTTTATCTGCGGATGATAATTTTCATTTTACTCGATTTAATTTTTTTTTATACTAATATCAATCTGGACTGTCCCTCAATATTGAATTTTCCCGTGTCCACCTGTAATCTTGAACTTGTATACGAGCTATTAAACTTTCATGTACTTGGACGATAAGTTCACTTGGGTTTAGTAGTTGCGCAACTACCTGGACAAACTTTGTTACTGTACGGAAGTTGTATAAGACCTGACATTGGTAAAAATTTACGTACCATATTGTACGTTATGGTTGTTACCGTTGTAGCTGAGGTCTATAAATGGAACGTAGCGGGGGACGGTCTTCCTATGGGTGCCGTTTTGGATCCCCGTGAGTATATGGACAAGGTATATGTGGTGTAGCAGGTATTACTGTGCTGGAGAATCAGTATAGGAGCAATGCATGGTCCCGATTTTGGGTTAAAATTCTGTTAGATCAGTGAAAAGACCTTCCCTAGTACGGAGATTTCCCCGTTACATTTATGGGCCTTGGTCGTAGCTGTCTGGACTGTTTGTGTACAGTTCATTTTTCAAATACTGATACTTTTAATTTAAAGCCGGCTGGACTTCGTTGTTGTGACTACGTTTCATGTAGATGAACCGAGTTCCATGGTGTGGGATACATCGAAGTTTCTATTGTACAGGGTTACGGTACCATGTGCTGGTGGACGATTACTTCCCGATGCAGACAATAGGCCCTTTGTAGGAATTGTTTAAAAGAGATACTTTTGTTTGAATTGCTGAGAAACGGGAATTATATTTAATAGAATAAGTTTTACTATAATGTGACTCCAGCTGGCACACAGGTGCAATATGAAATAACCTGAGGCTCTGAACCGAACTGTTTGTTATAATTAAATTTTACCATTCTATGGATTCTAGAAATTGTTTTAGGTTGGTGTTCGGTTTTGTTTTTTGAAAATGATATTATCAGTTATATGAAGTTTGACTGTACTATATTCATATTCTTTATCAATGTGCCTCTAACAAAACTATTTCTTTTTTTCTAGGTAAGTCCATGTCTTATGCTGAGTATCGACAACGCGTAAGTTATATATATTTTTTATTTGATATTATCTGTACGCTATTAGATATTCGACTCTGTAGCAGTAAAATAGTTCACCTTAAACGAAGTCACCTAATACGAGTGTATCTGTGTACGATATTCATCATACTTGCACTGGATAACACGCGGTTATCATCCGCGATGGTTTACTACCTTACCGACAGCAGGCAAGGCTGTTACCGGGAAAAACTCTTATCAATGTATCTACAAAAATGTGTATTATCGACGGAGGGAAAGCTCTCACTCGAGGAAATTGATACCGTTCTCCGATAGTCTTGACCTGATACAGAAGCTAAAGATACTGTAGATTTTTGTAACAGAACAGACGAAAGTTCCCTCTGTGAATTAAATTTGAAGCTATGCTTATCTGTCGTATGAAAATATCATTTCCTACTATACCGACAATCTCGAATTCACAGAATGCTTCATTCCTATCGTCGAAATATTTCACAACATACCTTTCGTAGATCGTTACTAAAATCTGAAGATTCATGCAAACCGATTTAACAGTCGGTACATGTGAACGAGTTTCAATAATTACAGTTTCATGCCTGTCCAAGCTAAATCAAGAGACCCGGTCGAGATTTCGCAACAAGTACAGGCAACCAGGCGATTTCATAGCGCACGGAACAGTTTGCTCGTAAATCTTCCAAAAAATCCATAATATTTGATCAGGTATCCGCGAACCAGTGAACGAAGCTTAAACGCAAAGCCGTGACCTGATTTGTACGAAGCACGGGTACCGTATGACGCGAAGGGAGCTTTGCTGACGTAATCCCAGTCCCACTCAAACTCAGCATCAGCCAATCGAATCGAAGGTGCACCATTGTGTGTGCCGTTTTAGTATCGATGCACCAGTTTCAATTGTATATTCCCTAATACTATGCAATTTCATCTAAAGATGATCCAGAGTATTCCTTCCACGAATCGTCAACGTCATACGACTTCACGAAAACTTTAATTCCACCCTATATACACGGCTTCTCCTGAATTTAAAGGAAATCCTTAGTCTACGCGCTCCTATTCACCGCAGGATATCCCGAAGGATCTGATACCCTGTTGAATTCATATACCCAGTTCTAGGCATATTCCTACGTACTCTTGCACACTTCAAACTCGACAAGAGTTCACGTATTACATTCAGCAGAAGTACATAGAAAGATTCTCCGCTGTTCAGCATCCATAGTCTTCAGTTATAAAACTTCATACGCTACTGAAATCTCATAGAGAATACTTCGCGTACATTTGAATTGTACCGGTTGCAAAAATGAAATATAAAATTCGCGCACCGAGTGCAGATACCGACGAGATCATAGATATCCAAACTGCTTCTCCCTGTTTCGATGGTAATCAATGTGACGTCACTTTTTGTAAGGATACCGGATATAAACATTTAGATAATAGTGAATATCTCAAAATTAGTATCAAATTAATTTCGGCAAAATCACGTGTCTCTCAAATTTATAATACTATTTATTAGCATACTAAAGTCAGTCGTGATACCTAATTAAGTTTTTGGAATAAAAAACCAACTATTTCATCACGTAACACTCCCATTAGTCGCATAAGACGGTCGAGGTATATTGATATTCCTAAAAAACTTTCCAAACCATAATTCTAGATGTCTTAATGACTCGCTATGTGGTATACACATGAGCACGCGTCGTTTCCGAATCCGAATGATCACGAGCGTCGTTCACGAGACGCTAGGGGACCTACTTTGAGATTCGCCGTGGATGTGAATTTTTTTTTCGTGACTCCTTTCGCTGTTACGTTCAATATTATTTCTACGCGTGTCTTTGATCAGTATCACGAGCGTCGCACTGAGAATGAGATTCAGAGTATATGATAATTTGGCTCGTAAACTTTCTTACGTAATTTCCATTATGCTTTTGCTATCGTACGTAATGCCCGGTAAATTTAGCTTATTTTCAAAATTCATTTACAATATACGATTTCTCGCACTAGACTGTATGTAACGAGACTACACTTACTATAGAATACTGGTACTACCTATAGTAAAGCCTTGGCCCAGTGTCCAGAGTATCCTAACCCGTAACGTGACGTAGTTTTGCGTGCAGCTTATACTTACCCTTGCCAACATATCTGATCTAATTGTGAGCTCGCCCTTACGATGGATGACACAATTGTTCCTTCAATAAATTCTGACGACGTTTTACGAAACTTGTTCGATCGTCCGAAGACATTGTTACTCAGATTAGTAGTTAAAAATGTTATTAAAAGATTTCTTTAGGAGGATCGACAGTGAAATTAATAATAGGTAATAAATGGGGATTGTAAAATTGTCGCTCGCATTAAAATTAGATCTTAATGTACCTGGTGGTTATTTTAATTAAAATTATCGATATCGCTTTCTGCAGTGGCAATGTTGCTGCATGTTTCGAACCATGTCGAGAATGGCCGTGCAGAGTATTAGTTGAAGTAGGATCGTTTGCCTTGAGGTTACACGCGCAATCTTATTGACTTATCAAAGGTATTGATTATAGGCAATGGGAGTGTCGACAGTCTGTAGACATTGCGGTAGAGTAGGGAGTTCAATGGGTGCAGTTCGTATATGGATATTTGATAAAAAAATACAAATTTATTTATGAATATTCAAGATTCCTGTCATTTCGTTAAAAAATAATTCCATGCTGTCCTCATGGGGCTTATCAGGTACTGCTGCACACGTTCAATTAGTAGTTCACCAATTTTTAACGTAGCCGGCACTGTAGGGAATTCCGGATCCATAGGATGTTCCAATATCGACACCGTGGCCTGATCCAAGGACGACGCCCTGCCCGGATCCAACGCCCAAGGCTAGGCCAGACTGTCCCAGAGATCCTGAGAGGCCACTGGAGTAGGCTCCGGCGGATGCGAGGGAAGCATCGCCAAATCCAACTCCAGAACTTACAGGGATCCCGACTTGTTGGGGAACGGAAACTGAAACTGGCACCGAGTGGACAACTGGAACTGGCACAGGCTGGGCAACTGGGACTGGCACTGGTTGAGGTACGCGAACTTCGACAGGTTGAGGAACTGGGACTGGGTAGGGTCTATCGACCTTGACGGGCACGTGCCGGACGACTGGTACTGCTACCGGCTGAGGCACTGGCACTGGGTAAGGACGGTCGACCTTAACAGGCACAGGGTGAGGTACGGGCACAGTGCGAGTGACCTCCACCGGAACTGGATGAGGGACTGGAACCGGAACTTGGATTTCACGGTGTACAGTGATTCCGGTAATGCGTTCGGAACGAGCATTTGCGACGGCAGACGCTCCGGCAGATGAGAGAGCGGAAACTGATCCAAGTCCTAGTCCTGCTCCACCGAGTCCTCCATTAACACCGGAAGAGTAGCCATAGTTTCCACCGTAAGAAGATCCCAGAGTATATGCTAGAGGAACGCCGGAGCTGACTGCTGAACCCACACCTAGTCCACTGGAGTATCCCAAAGAGTTGGAAACGACTCCACCGACTCCACCGAACCCACCGATACCGTGGTACACCCCACGTTTTTCCTGCTTCTTCACCGATTTTTTGTCACCGGCCAAAACGCTGGTAGCCAGCAGGCAGCAGATCTACAAAGATTCGTAATTACTTTAATGTCTCACGTAACTATAATACTAACGTGTAAAACATTTTTCCTTTATAGTTAACTTCTGGCAAACTTTCCAACAGCTAAGCAAACGATTGATCATTCGCTCAGTTGAAATTACAGTCAATGAGATACTTACTAGGAAGGTCCTCATGGTTCACTTGTGAGTCTTGACTTGAGAGTGCCATCCTTTGCCTAGCTCGCCGTTTTTATATCAAATCCCAATGCCTCGTCTGCCATTACTTTCACTGCAAGGCAGGTACACGCCCTGCTAAATCTCGTTGGTGGTTCCGTAGCTGGTCCATCCGATTTTTATATGACGTAATGTCGAAGTCGCCACGCGAAAGGTGACCGGATCCCAACCGTATTATCGAGGGACGGACTCAGCGAATCCAAGCGAAGCTGCCACCAACTTCTTACCGGTTATGACAATCGGATCGTCGGATTTTGCTCGAAAATCTTGCTGTTATATTGCAAATCTATGGGTTTTATGAAGGCCGTTATTCCCGATTCTTTCTACGGTCACTTCTTAAATACTTGAAAATGTTTTCTTTTTACGTTTGAATACGTGGAAATCACAAGACACTTGCTGACGATGAAAAAGTGATTACCATAGAAATTATAGAGAGTAACGCATTTCATTAGGCACTTAGATTTGCATTGTAATTGATCGATACTATGGTTACGATGTATTATGGATGCTGTTGGCTGATTCAACTTCGCTCCGTTATTACGATTGTCCTTTCTCAGTTTCGAAACGCTTATTTTTTTTATTGCAACTATAATTTACCCGCTAAGATTTTCTTGAATTTTTTTGCCTAAATTTTTTTTAATACAATTTTCGGAATTTTTTGAGAATTATTTAGTGACGATTAATAATTTTTTTTTTTTTTTTTCCTAAAATCGACATTAGGATTGTGTGAAGGTGTGTCAAGATCACATCGACGTGCGAAGATACCTACGCGCTTTTTCGGTCGATCGAAATGCCTTTTATCTTAATCCAATACAATTTCGCGAAACTGACTTTAGCATTACTTTCGAATGAGATAAGTATACACATCAATAAGCATAGGACGAAATTACAAGCATAATTTAAAAAGTGCCAAAGCTGCTCTTTGCGTATGATTAAAATCTTTTTTAATGCTCTCAGAGGGAACATTAGCGTTCGATATAGTTAACCCATAATGGCGCTTCTCCATAGAATTTGCTCACGTAACTCTCATCTGATACTGTTAATACGTATACCAACCTTCACTTTTGCAACAAATGTCATTTTCGATGCAATTCGCCATAAAGCCCGAAACGCTCGCGCAATAATCTTCTATGCTAATGGGATGAACGATATTTCATTGTGCCAAATAATTTTTCAAGGATTTTTGCTATTTATAATAATTTTATAAGTAAACTATTAAGAACCGCAAATTTACCTAAAAAGCTGTTCCACACTTTGCATATTTATATTTGCCATTCGATATACTTGAAAATTGATGATCCGTCGCTTCGTTGATATCATTCAATAGGATTACCTAAGATCTAGAATTATCCAAATCGATCTTTCATTCATTCTGCAAATGATTAATCGTACAATAGACTTGATCGTTAATTCGATATCGGTATGGACCAATACGTAATAGCGTAAAGACGTACAATGCTGTTACTCAATACAGCGACTATCACTTCTGTATCATATGGTACAATGAACTATAGTCAGAGTTTCATATATAGAAAATATATTTATATATTATACAATATAATAAAATATAGATATTCCTATTACACGAGGACCATGAATATTCTATTGCTAATATACCTCGACTGTTCGATATATTAAGCATACGTTATTTAACTTTCAATCGCTGAGCCTAATTTTTTGATTCCTCTTGGCATTTCGCATAGGCATTACGATAGACGAAGCCAATGAACTTTATGTACAACTGGATGATATTTATACGGCTGAGAAAAAAAAAACGGGAAACAACTCATACATATGTTTCATCGCTATTGGAATTTTAGTAAAAACTTGTTTGACATTTGCGTCCTTGATTTGTTAATAAAATAAATTTATGTTGCTCGATGGAAGCGTTAGACATTTTTTTCATTTTTCTTAATATATTAGAGAAATTTAAATCGTTCTTCTCTACACGTGTAATTCTTGACTTCCGTGTCGAAAGTAAAATTCCACGACAATTAACATTGCTCTGCGATTGCTCTGTGTCCAAAGATAACCAGCGTGCATTGCAAGTATTTTTTACGAAAAAAAAAAGTGTGGCGGCAGAATTAAAGGGGAATGGACTTATATGGGCATTCATGGGACGACGGGTGTTTCTTGAAAGTAACAATTTTTTTTTCATGTTTCGCACAGACAAATGTCAAGAATAAAATAAAAACAGTAGCCATATAATTAAATGGGTATTTTAATCACAATTTAGGTTTGGTACTTAAGTCTACCTCGTGTCGGCGACAGATTAGGACACGACAAAGAAATTTTTGCGAATCTGATGAAAGTTTAGAAAAATACGAATTAACAAGGTAGAATTTCCACGTGGGGGATAATAAAATTTAATTGATCGAAGAACACGCGGAAACATCGGGTATCAAACTGACGTCACAGACACGTGACGTTATCAGATCTGTATGCTAAGCATATGGACGGTTCAATTAAGAGTATAAGGGATATCCTCGGGGAGCTCAAGTGATCATCCAAGCTTGTCCTTACTACTGACGGGACACTTGTTATCAGTGGGAATTCGTCAGCGCCAAGTTTGATGGTTATCCATTTCACGAAGTTCGCAGGTCGTCCAAGGTGCTCATTAGGGGACAAGTTGGGGATGATTTATCTCATGGTGAAAAACGAAAGTCACTCATCGCTTTCAGTATTCATGAAAATAATTATCAGGACTCGTAACTTATTATAAACGGATCAATAAAAACTGTATTAAATTAGTATCTTAATATTGCCTAGCTTTCACTGAATGACCAGCGCGTAAGGTATAAGATATTAGGTAGTCGAATATATTTTACGGTAAGCAGGAAGTCGATTATACAATGTCAAGTGATATATTCCAATATAAGCGCACGTGAAATTTCAGTAATGTGGCAATCCTTTAATTTTTAATAAAAACATTTTTTAATTAACCGAATCGTCGAAATATCGAATTTTTTCGCGGAAATCGCTTTTTTTCCTACAACGAGTTCGCGTCTTGATTTATTCCTGTCTTGGGTACCTGCTGATTTTCCTTTTCCCCAAAAAAAACATCCAAAAGTTTTTATCGTATCTTTCGCTTGCAATAACGACTCGCAGCAATTTTCAATGAGAAACTTTAGGACGACAAGGTGTCCAAGCACTTAGTCTGATGAAAAATTCCACAATCTTTTTATCTGCCTAGTCGGTACTTAAGACAATTTTACCTTGTACGATTTCTTATCGTACAGAATAAAATTGTTAAAAAATATATCTTCCCGAAACGTCCTGCCATAATTATTACGGAATTTGACGTTAATTTCATGCAGACGACGTTCTGTCACGCGAACGAATACATAGATGATTTTTAGATATGTTCCAAGAACCGTGTTTTACTATGTGTAATATAGATATATGTGTGTACGCTAGTTACTAGATTTTCATTTCCAGTCGGTAAGATAGATATCCTCTCAGAAAGATATTTATGTCCTTTTAGTCATCACGCGATATTACATCGTGACAAATGTTTTATTCGATTAAGGCGCAGCTTCGCCTGTAATACCATCTCCTTAGAATTTTCCGTTCATAATACAATAACCCCCTCGCGTCCCCCCACGTCCCTTGAATCCTGAAGAAATTCGTTATGGAACGTACTTAATCATCTAAGACCTTCTCGCTTGTTCGCCGAATCCACAAGGGCGTCCCATTACAGTGAAGAGAATTATTCAACCACTTACGAATTTCATAATTGTTTTTTTCAAACTTACCCACTTCACAAAATAAGAGAAATATAATCGTTTGACAATTTCACGTCTTAAATCTAATTTCAGGTACTTTTGATTAATTTGCAATTACAAAAATTCTCCCATGACTCTTTACTGTATGTATTATACGATACGGTAATATTGGCGGGAATATTCAAACGCGCATGTTGAGCCTACATAACATTGCCATACAGCGGTTTGCTTACGTTATCGTGTGTAAGCTAATGGAAGATTGAATAAAATGATCAGGAGTTATCAAGCGGGTTTCTGTGTTCTCGTAGTAGGTACGGCCCTGAACGAGTCAGTCAGGAAGTTGGAGCACTGTTTCTCTCGCGAAATATTAACTGCTCTCTTGACTGACATTTTGGTGCGTGCGATCTCTTCCCTGGAAGGACTCCCTACCAGTTAGTGAACTACATTCCGAGTTAAAAGTAAGAGGCATGGAGGAAGCCGTTACCTAACAGGGTTAAACGGCCGGGCGCAGCTTCTGACATCGGTATACATATTCCATTGTTTTATTTTATTTTTTTTTTTTTCACGCAATAAGAGATCGGCTGACTGGTTGACGTTAAGAATACCTAATAAGAGCGGTAGTACAATAAAAAAATATTATGCTGTGATACAATAGCACATCTATGTTACTGGAATTTTTTTGGAAAACGAATTTTTTACAGTTATGCTAATTCATGCTATTTTTTTTATCGCGAATAAGTCGTGCTTCGACTTAGTGCTCGATATTTCATAAAAGTTATATCTACATGGAGCAAAGTTTTTTTCGCGATGGACGTGTAAACAATGTCATTTTCAAAAATAGTAACAAATATTTTCTGATAACTTTTCGCACTCGAGGAAATAAGTTTATGGCGAACTGATAATATTATTGGATATAGAGTAGTGTCTTGGAAATTTTTCAAAATATATTTTTGTATATCTACATTTTTTTGAGTTTGATTTTTTTTTGGAGGGAACTTTTTAATGTCTCGTTTTATTGTAACGACAGTTCGAAACACGCGTCGCTGTGTATGGAATCGATAATGACATTTGTTGTACGTTTTTATTATAATGTGCGCGTGTAGACAAATTTAGTACAGGTAATTCGTGTAAATGATAACTAAATTAATTTGATTGGGTTTTAATTACCCAAATGATTCTGTTGTATTCCTGACTATGAAAACAATAATGTTTAGTGAAAGTCCGGAATACTTTAGATTTACCGACATTACTTCACAATGCATATTCAGTATTTATATTATCGTTAAAGAAAATCGCATTTGTTTTATTTATAAATATTACATATCAATTTTCATAGTACCGATCTCAATAATTAAGGTACTTGAACTACAAAAAT